AGACATGAATTTGCATTCGTTCCGTAGAGTTTATTGACATCCGCGGTATTTCGATAACATCTGTTAGCCACTTCTTGACAAGAGACTTCCATATTTCTTCGTCCTCTTGGTTTAGAATTTCATCTCTTTTCCTTTTCCATAAATTTTGAAAAATTAATCTTAGTACCATCGCCGTACTGAGAAGTCACAAATCGTAGAATGTTTCGTTTTGTGTTCTCCTGCTCTTTCTGCGGTCTAAACATCACCTTAATTATGTCTTTATCATGTCTCCAAGTGATGTTGAGAAGTTGGGTCTCCAATGACTCGGTCTTTTTTGGGTATCCTTTTATTGAAGTCTTCGTCGTTAGGAAAAAATTCCCTAATTTCTTTGAGGAGCAAATTAGAACGATAAAAAAGATGAGATGCATACCTACTCCTGCTTGCATAGGTTGCATATCTCCTCCTCCTCTTGGCACAGGTGCCTGATTTTGATTGGCAGCTTGGCAATAAATGAAAAAAGCAATGTATACTATCAACTTTGCCATATTTAAATTCGTTTGTATAATTCCGATGTTTCCAAAGATAACTTTTACTTTACTGAAAAATTGCAGCCATTTTAAAAAGAAAATTAAACGCTTAATGACATTTTCTAAAATATTAGAAATGGGAAATCAACAAGTAGTAGAAATTTGGAAAATTCCACATTTTATTAACATTTTTATTTTTATTTTTTGCGATCAATAGATTTTTGAACTGTGGACGAAGTGATTATATTTCCACTCGTTATTACTTTATATTTACGTCTTATTAACCGTTCAGGTGGATTGCCATCTGATCGTTTAACATCCTCAGAAATCGTTTCAATGAAAGCTTAGCATACATATCTTTTGGAACCTTTTGGTATTTGCAAAATACCACAGATCTATTTTATGAAATTCAGAAAAACAACAACAAAAGAATTCAAGAAATTAACATTTAAATCAACTTTTATTATTGAATTCGAGCTCTCACTTCACATGACACAATAATGATCTGGTAAATGTCGTCTGGCAAGTTACCGCCGTCATGGCAAATACTCTGCATGTTAATCTTACAATTCATCATAATACAGTAAATTTATTCTTGAACAGTATATCATTTAGATGAACATGTTCTGAAGCAATGTCGAGAATGATCGACATTAACGCACAAAATCTTCATTGGTAAACACAATATCTAAGAATATTTTTAACACTGAAAGAGCAATGCGGAATCATTAATGGTTGAAAATCTAACAGCAGCGCTTTTTATACTTCCGCAGCGGAATCTAGGTGTACATCCTGTCCGATATTAGCGGATCAGTGTTCCATTTTCCGCATTTTTCGAGTTGCAACGGAAGAAGAACTGATTCAGACAGACAATGATAAGATGACATTT